ATAAAAATATTTGGCAATTATTAGGTAATATTATTACATTTAGTAAGTATTAAAATTATGGGCCTTATTTTATAGATATAAAAAAAACTTTTCGATAATTTCGATCGAGGTAATCCTCACCTCACTTTACCAATTTATTCATCAATATAAGTTTTTGATTTTTATGACACTTTGTGTTGATAGCTCAAGTTTCACGTGCCACAAATGGATTGAAAAATAACCGAAGAGGGTAATTCGAACAAATTTTCTAATTAAAATCGAAACATTTCCATAAAAATGTACTAGATATTAAATCTACAAAAAAAAACTTGGCACAATTTCTCGGAAATCAAGAAAAGAACTACATTAAGAATATTTCAACGATCTATTAAGAAAAATATCATTTTAAGAGGAACTTTGTCAAACGTTATTTGTTTTTTGGATACATGCATGTTCCTTTATTAAATAATATCTGGTACATTTTTATGTAAATATTTTATTAAACTTAATTTTTAAAACGTTCAAAGGACCGTTTCTAAAATATTTTTCAATCCATTTAAGGCACGTGAAGAAATTAAACTATCATCGCCAAATTTCACTAAAATTACACTGTTATTGAATGATTATAGATATAGTTATCTTGTAAAACCAACCATTAAAGTCTGTTTCGGCAGGGAAACAAAACAATTCTGTGTACATTTGCTGAGTGTATTTAACATTATAAAATATTATACAATAAATACCATGCGGCACTATGCATTTTTTTTATAATTAACTGTGTCTACTGTTAAGCAGGATAACTGGTGCATACATGTCGCTAAATACCTACACGGTTTTATACGATTTCTCCTTCGAGAGAGTCTTAAACGAAGTATTACCGCATAGGCGTTTAATATTTTGTTAAACAATTATTATTTATCTATAATATTCTATATAGTATACGAAACCGTAATAAAGACCATAGTATTTATATTCGTTAATATTGTTTAATAATATTATTACTAACTTTTCCTTTGACGCCAGCCAGCCTTTGGTTCAACTGCTTAAATTTGTCGGACAAAGCGCAAGACAGTACAATAATGAAAAGATCCATAAAATTCCAAGCACAAGTAAGTATTAGGTTTAAAAATCCCAAAGGTATGGCGATTACGAACGAATAATCTATAATAGTAAATACTTGTCGAAAAGACATGGAAAAGTAAGCTCGAAAAATATCTAGTCCTCCCGTTGAACAGGGTACTGCGTTCACTATTCCTGTTATAACTGAAGAAGCGTGTTCAACTATAAAATAAAAATGAACAAGACAAAATCAATTACCATTTTAAAAAGAGGTCTTAATAACAATAAAAATAAAAAAAAAAAAGACGAACAAAATGTATAAACCATAGTAATAGTAGGAATATGGCGGAATACTGTCACTTATCATTAATTAGTCATTAATAATTTAATGTTTGATGAAATCGTTAATCTCCATTATGTATTCTTAAATGCCTATTTATAATTTTTGAATACTTATTTTGCAAGCTTTAACGTGTATACGTACGTACTTATTGCAAGTAGCATGACGGTACTTGTTAACATTTTGAACTTAAATGCAGTATTGGGAGGATAACCAAACTGTTTCATATCACGTTCCATTAATTCCCACTTCTGCATAACGTTTGGCCATTCCCTGGCCAAATGGATAGACAGGATGTAAATCACCAAGGAACTTCCAAAAAACATTATTTCACCTAAGTGGGCATGTAGAAATATGCAGGTTTGTAATTAAAATAATACATTAATAATATCATAATTTGTTTTTAAAAAGAAAATCAAGAACAGGAGAGCTTCGTTACCAAAGCGGATTACATACAATAGAACAGTGGCTATTATTGTGTATTATGGAAATATTTTTAATTAAACATTTAATAATATAATCAGTGATAGGCATGATCGAATTAATTGGATAATCGAGTTATTAGTAATCGATGAGGTGCCCTCTTTGACTTGAAATAATTATAGTTTTATGAAATAAATCGTAAACCTAAAGTGTTGAATTAGAAATTCTATTGAAAAAAAATGTATCTAAATATAACTGGCTGTAATATATTATCTATAATCAATACCTTATCAATAACTGAATATTAAATCTAACTGCTAGTTTTGTACGGTTATGATATTTCAGTAACCTGTTATACACTAACAAGGTTATATTTGGTTGTTCGCTAAAACTCGACTATATTTAGATAAGAGGTAATTTTATAGATTTAATTCAAGGTCCATGAAAAATTCGATAGCGTTTGAGGTAGTAATCGTTGCATATTTATTGTACACTTCGTAATCATGTGAGAAATCGTTATACTGTAAAGAGTTAATTTTGTGGAACAAAATGTCTACGTGGACGTCAACATTTGTAACCCACAAAAGGAAAACATACTCAATATCAAATTAAAAACCCTCTAAATCCCTGGTTTGTGCTAATTCAATCCGAAGCCTGAAGCAATGTGTCTGCAAGGAGTAGAAAAAAATATACTTATGTGCGTAGTATATAAAGCACAATACAGAGAAATAGACTATTCCATGGGAAATTTAATAATAAAAAATACATTTATTAAATATTTACCTGTACTATAATACGTCAGTCCGGTCTCGTAAATTTTGAGTAATGACAATAAGAGGATCAACAGTGACGAGGAGAGAACAACGAATACGTATATAACTGGAGTGCTAAACCAGTTGAAACTGAAAAATAATCTCTTATTAGGAGATAGGCCAACTTTTGATTTAAATACGAAATAATACACCTAAAAAAAAATTAATCTTTTTTTATGAGCATGATTTTTTTTTTTTTATTGGAAAAAACTATATATATAAGTATAATATGCATGCGATGAAAAAATAATTTCAAATAACTATAAGTTTTAGATTCTGAATGAAGCTCAATGGTATTACCATGACACTTTTTTTTTTCTGTAGATAACTTTTCTACCAGAACACTTGTTTGAAGATTTCATGATACTTATATTTCAAAAGGAAGATTTCACTGGGGAAGTACTTTGGAGATATCGTTTTTCGATTTTATCGGGAGTTTTATTCTCAGCAATTGTGAAAAACTGGGAAAAAGCATGGAAAACTCGGGAAAAATGTAAAACAACAGTGAAACAATAAACAAATATTATCTAAGAAAACATATAGAGCTTATTTAAATGATTTATTATTATATGGCATATATATTGGTGACAGAACCATACTATCAACTAAACTTCATCCTAAAATCGTTATTTTATAGGCCTTGTGGGCTATCACTACTTACAGGTGGACATAATTATACCCAAAATCTAAGGACGTTTTTGTTTATTAGCTTTTATTAATACTATGATAGATAAATAGATATAATCTAAATGTTCTATACAGTTCAGTATTATTCGTTTTATAACTATTAAATATATACACATCTGTATAAATATAAAATGTTTATCAATTTAATTATAAATGATTTTAAAAATAATATAATTAAAATGTACAACCGGTTAGAACATAGATGGTTTGCGGAGGGTTAATAAACGATTTATCAGAATGTCATTATATTTGATCATATGGCGTAGAAACCAAATAGCTACATTTCATAAAGTAGTTATTTGAACACGTGTCTCTATAAAATGCTCCCCAACACGTGTCTCTATAAAATGCTCCCCAACTACTCTACATTTCATAAAGTAGTTATTTGAACACGTGTCTCTATAAAATGCTCCCCAACTACTGATATCCCAACTACTNTACGTTATAATTATACTAAATCGGTTTTACAGATTGAAGGTATCAATTCGTCACCTTAAAAATCGATTATCGTCTTCACCTTTTCTCTATTGAACAACGCCAGATTTCAACAACAACCGTTCCATTCCATCGGAATTGATTCAAGCAACTAAATATACCGATTTGGTAACAGTTTTCGTCACGTATTATAATGAAGTTGATGTTTTTAATTAGTTCCCTATGTTATTTTATATTACTGTATGTATTTTCTACAAATGCCGACGTCCGGTGTGGCCAGGATTGTTTTCCAAGTACCGATTTATCCTACCCCGAGTACTGTATTAGTAACCCTGAAAAAAAAAATATATGTAAAGGAAAACCAGGATGTTCATGTTGTTGCCACTAACTAAAATTCATTTTTAAAAATACATCTTTATAAATAATAGGTAAATAAAATATAATTAATTTCCAAAAATTAAAATATTTCAATTCCTTTATACATTATTAGTGCAACTCCTTTTACTCAATTAATAGATCCTGTATTTCACATTAAAAAATCTTTACCAAACTGACAAAATTAATTACTTAAATAATATTATAAGAGAGTGAGATTTGTTGATACAATTTGAAAACTTTTATTATTTTTATAATGGCGGTAAATATATTTTTTAGGGTTACATCTTATTCAGTAGCCAATTTTGACTAATAATTATATTTATTTTTTTTTCACACAATATATAGTATTAAATTTGTTCATTTAAAATGTTACAACTAGCATCATGGTGTGGTATGTAGTTACATTCTATGGGTTAATTGTTACACTATAGATTACGTGTAAATGCTTACTTTAATCATGTACCGATATAGCGAAAAATAGGTTGTATTTAACAAATTGTAATCAATTGTAATGGCTTAAAAATCCAATGTACAAATGTTTTAAAAACCTTGTGTTATTTTTTTTAATAAATATTAATTTAGCAAACGAACAACTGTCTAATACTTTTTCAAAATTAACATTTTAACAATCTTGTAACGGTTAAACCTTCTTTTATCAGGTTTAATTACAAATTTTATACTCTCTCCCTCTTCTAACCGTATTATTTATCTAGATAAATTATATGGTTCTATACATTTTTTATCTAAATTGGGTAAATATATAAAAAAAAATTTCGTTGATCACGCACAATGCCTGTATGTAATAGAACGTTAAATTTATTTTAATTTTAATAATTTGTAAAACTTATTTTAAACTTTTCATTGTTATAACTATTTATCTGAGAAAATGTAATTAGCAGTGGCATGAAAGTAATAAAAATGTATTTCGGCAAAAATAATTCCGAGAGGCCAGAATAGCTAAACACAGGCCATTTCATTCCCAAAGTTATGGTTATCATAGATTTTTATATCTGTAATCAAGTACTTGTTCGGTTTGGAAATTAAACATTCGCCCCAAAATTTATCCAAACTGAGTTAGCTGCACGTATAACTTTTAAAAGAAGAATCAGACCAAGGTCCGACTTTAACATAGGATTCGGCATCACTGGTAATAGGTACTTACACTTTTCCTTTACTATCATTTATCTGACATAGAAAATAAAATGCCGCGTTTTATAAAAAGGTGAATAATTATTTAAACACATGTCTGTAAATAATGCTCCCTACTAATAAAATTACATTATCATTTAGGTATATTCGATGATTTATTTTTTTGTTACGAAACATAAACACGTAATCTACATTGAAAACTATAATTCTACTGAACCAGTTTTACAAAGAGACGGTACCTATCCATCAACTCGTGTCCTCGAACAGCAATTATCGTCTCCGAAATTTCTCCATTGACCAGCGCCAAACTTCAATCAACATCCGTTCAATTCGATCGGAATTGATTTAGGCAACTGAATACACTAATTTGGTAAAATTATTCGTCAAGTGTTATAATAAAGTTGACGTTTATAATTAGTTTCCTATTTTATATTATATCACTGTATGTATTTTCAACGAATGGCGAAGGCTATTGTGGCCCAGATTGTAGTCCGGATATCGAAGATTCTAACGGTGATCTCTGTTATTATAACCCTGATAAACCAAATATATGTCCTGGAAAAAGAGGGTGTTTATGTTGTTGCGCTCCTAAATAACTGTGTTAAAAATACTAACTTATTAAATTATAATTCAAAAAATGTGTATAATTTTCAATAACTGTATCCTACTTGTATGTAAGTAC